AAGTTCTTGGCTTAGGAAATGATCTAACAGGTCATTACTAACTTTTGATTTCCACAACGAAAGCATTAAGAAGGTATATGTCTGTGGCCAGCATTCAGATATGAGAGTTTTGTAATATTAATTCTGAATTTCTGCATGTAAAATATGGAAAGAAAACACACCTCAACACATTTATGAAACAGTGCTATAATTTAGAAGCATGATACTGGATAAGGTTTACTGTAATTCTATCATTTAAAACTGTTACGGTTAGTGAGATCCAGACGTTATTTTCCCTAAATAAAAGCTGGTACGCAAAATATGAAATTTATTTGTTTTCTGATACTGAGATATTTTAATGAACACAGCTCCATGTCAAAGGTGACAACATGGTGTTCTTCCACATGCAGTAAAGTGACAGTTAAACTGTATGCAAAATTACATCTTCCCAGTAGGTCTGTTACAAGCTGGGAGTGGTGGAACAAACCCATAATCCCAGGACAGCTAAGGAGAATTTCAAGTTGAGGCCTCACTTAGGCCATTTAGTGAAACCCTATATCGAAGTTAAAGGGGTGGGAGCGCTGGAAACATAGGTCAGTGCGAAGGTCCTAGGTCCACCACTATTACAAAAAACAGAATCAAACAAACAACTCAAGAAATTTGCTAAATTCTATTGTTTCTTGTTTAATACTAACCTAATGAAAACCATTATTATAAGGATTATATTGTCTCAGCAGGTTGGCTCAAATCCAAGCTGTACACTGAATTTTAGCTATCTTCGCTCCACCTCAACTTTCCCTAGAACAGGCTTAATAAGAGTCGTTGGCTTAAAAAAAAAAATCCCATATCTAAGAGCACTGTTTTATGTGTGCTTGTGATACTGAAGTTTCAGTGAAATAAAGATTAATGTAAGGCAACTGACTTTATATATCATTTTTCAAACAGCAAAATGTCCTCAAACAACTCAGGGTTTCACTGTTGTCTCGCAGATGAAAATCTGGGAGGAGTCACACGTCATAAGGTGCCACAACTTCCTCCCTTTCACACTTCATGTGTACCAGTCAGGAAAAGTTTTATATTGATTAAAGTTGAAAAACACTACTTCTGGGCAGGGGTGCAACCTAGTGGTCCAGTACTTGTCTAGCACACAGGAGGCCCTAAATTCCACCCAAACGGAGGAGAGAGCACTCCAGGAAATTCTGCCATGGTTTACATACTAGGTTCTTTATATATTTGTGACACACAATAATTACTTTCATTTTGGGGAATTAATAGGTAATATCTTGATCATGTTTTATTCCACTTTCTCCCTTTCCCAGGCCCCACTGGTCATCTTAGAATAGTCAATCTCTTGTTTCTTATCATCTCTCCTTTATTTTGCTCTTCAAATTATACTCTGGGTTATCCTCTAAAAGAAATCATGTGATATTTACCTTTCTATGTCTGATTCATTTCAATGGACATTATAGCCTTAAGATCCATATGTTTTCCTATAAATAACTAAAATTTACCCTTCTGTATGACTAATACTCCACTGCACACAAAGGGTTCTTATGTCTTGCATAGATATCCCCTGGTATGATAAGCAGATTGCTTATTCCATCAGGAGCAGTAGTGTTTCCCTCAATAACAGACGTCACCTTAACCTATATGGAGAATAGACTGGATTTTAGTGACTGTCAAGTCCAGGGTTTTTCTCATGCAGTCTACTGCTGAATGAATTTCCAGAGGAGGATCCAGAAAAGCTTAATGAGAAATGAAATTCTTGTAAACACTAAAGCCAGTGATAAGCCAAATCCTTATTCTTTTAATTTTACGATCCCCAAACTTTTATTAATGCCATTTCTTCACCTGCCCCCATAGCTGGGTCTTGTAGAGCTAACCTTCTGTTTGGTCTTTACCTCAAATCCCCCTTTTATAAAACACCTCTGGTCCACAAGGTGGAAGTTACTGGTTCTGCCTTTAATTTAGGGTCTGAGAAACCAACTCTGCTTCTGCCTGGAGGAAACCTGGCCCTGCATTTGGGTGGTGGGATGGGTGTGCTTAGCGTTGGCTGGCAAAGGGACTTTGTTCCATCCTGGGATAAGAGGAATTTTAATAGAAAAAAGTTAAATCCTCAGCTTAACAACACTCAACAATCTCCCTTTTAGATGAGGCCACAGTGGAAAGGGAAGCACTTTCTAAGGCAGAGGTAACAAGGGTTTCCAGGACACACTGCTGTGCTTTTGTATCTTCCACTGGGGCTGCTATCCTTCCTATCTCGCCTTTAACTGCAGCCCAGAGGACCAGGCAGAGGTACAGCATAATTATAATTTGTTACAACTTAAACATCACAAGAAAATGCTGAGGACTGGTTTGGGAGGGTATTTTTAGATGTACGAGTATTAATGATTAATTCTGTCAAACCTTCAGTCAGTAATAGGTAAAATGTCAGAGCCGGTGACAGTTGCTTAATTGCTAGTGCAATTTACAATGCATAAGAATTGACAAGACGGCTTTTTGTAGCCCATTATCAAAGTGTCAACAGTGATTATTGCCAATATAGTTACACAAATGCCAATTGCAGGGCAGCTGTTTTCTTTCAAATGGGTTCCACGGAGAAGGTTGTATGTTAAAAGGAATCTTCCGATTGTGACCTTGTGACTTTATTACATAGGCTTTACTTTAGCTAATAAAATCAGACATGAGTTTTGAGAAGAACTGTGCAGAATGATGAACAAAATGCATATTTGTGTAAATCCCCAGGACTCTCTCTCTCAAGAACATGGGCTTTTTAGAGAGTCAGGTCAAAGCCCCCAGAGATCAAGTGAGTCCGGTTATGTTTTCTTTTACTTGCCTGGATTCCCTGCTGAGTAGCTTGCTAGCTGGCAGCATGCTAAGACTGTCATTTATAAAAGGCAGTCCGCTCAGCTATAATTACTAATTTGATGTCACACTGGAATTGCAGGGCAGCTGTGAAAAGATCGACCACCAGGGAGATTCGTATTTCTCTGTCTCATTTAGAGGAGGCGAAACTGCTGGAGCCATGAAAGGAAGATGCCCTTCCATTAAAATGGAAAGAATTAAGGAATAAAACAAGTCATAGCAGCTGTCAGAATCTGACAATGTTTTTTTTAAGCATTGCTCTGCTTTTTTTTTTAAAAAAAAATTCAAGACATCTGTACATGCATGTTCTGATACTTGTTGCAATGAAAGTGATTTCATTATTGTTAGAATATAACTTCTTTCTTTCAGTTCCATCTTCATTATTATGTTAATTCAAATTGCACTAATTATGTGTCAAGTTGAAATCCAAAGGATGGAACTTATCTGCACCTATATCACTAAATATTTGAAATGACAGTTTCAAAACTTGTCATCAACAAGTTAAAAGCATGGGAAATTAAAACAGTTATAATGACTCCAATGAAAGAAAATCTATGAAGAGTAGGAACTGAGCTTACTAATAACTAACATTACCATGTCAATGGAGTCTGCAAATCATTTTTGCATTGTAGCAATCATTTTGCATGGAATGTTATTACATAGGATAGTAAGGAAACTAATCTTTTTGCAAATCATTTAGTCTCATTTTCAAAAGGTTAAAAGGCAGAAAAAATGTTTTTAGCCTTCTGCAAATATTTTGAAACCTCAGGTACTACTGCTCTCACAGCATTTATCATTTTATTTGTGAAGGCAAAGGATGGTATACTTTTTTAAAAGTCAAAAATATTAACTCATGGAAAATAACTTAAAAACCCAACATTTTAAAGAGTTATGCTTCATTAATACACTTTATTTGATCTATTACAGTTGAGTAAATTTCTAGATTATAAATAAACTGTGGGAGAGAGATGTCCTACCACCAGGGCAGGTGCACTCTGTTCACCATCAATTTATATTACTTCTGCATTCCACACTTCAAGCTATTTCCTCTCCCACTTGCAGGGAGCATCTGTAACATACAAGGGCGGCTGAAGTGGCCTTTGGAGCCTTTGCCTTCTGCAAGAGGAACTATCAAAACACAAAGCTGTAAAGAAGTACATAAAGAAAAACAGATGTGCAAATTTGTAAAATTCAAATTGAAACCCAATGATATCATCCTAGAAAAATTTAATTAAAAACAAAACACAATAAAATCCTTCAGTCTAGCTCTCAAATGGAATAGATAAGAGAGGGCAACTTCCCAAGCAGAAGGGTGGGGCTGCGGGTGTGGCTCCGTGTCAGGCACCTGCCCAGCACACACCAGCCCTGGGCTGCTTCCTTAGCACAGCACAACAACACAGCTGATAAAGGAAAAAGTAGGAGACCAGAGGTACCTTGCATGTCAGCACATGATGCTTTGAGTTGATTTAGATTTATATACAGGGAACTACTCCCCCAATTGTTATTCAGACCAACCTTTGAAGACAACTCTGTCTATAATCTTGCATAATATTAAAAGTAAATGTGACTTAACATGACCAACAAGTCAGGAAGAGATAAAAAGATGTGGTCTCTTAATCCCTATTTTTTTTTTAGGGTACTGGGGATTGAACTCAGAACTCTGCACTTGTCAGGTAAGTACTTATTCTACTGAGCTATCTCCCTTGGCCCTTAATCCCTAATTTGTAAAGCAAGAAAATACTCCACTCATGATTTAACATTTTATAGGGGAAGAGTTCGAAGCTCATCCAAGCCAACATATGACCAGTGAGAAAGCCGACTCAGAGAAGTGAGGACGGTTTCGAAGGCCACATCTGGCTGATGGGGGCAGTGTGGCCTTGGGATGTTCTGAGCCCTGGCTGCTATCTGTGTTAAGTGTGCTGTGCAGCTGGTTGGGTTTCCAGAGCTTGTTGCGTGTGAAATGTTTGTTTCACCCACACTGCAACTAATCACTGCTTCCTCATTTAACAGCATGTGGTAGGGAAGTGAGGGAGAGCACTCCTCAAAGCACAGTTTGCATTGGGAGCAGCTGCAGGGAAAAGGCAGAATCCTAGTGGTAGAAGCTGAGAAGGATCAACAGGAAAGGTGCCGTGCCCATTTGTGGTCTAGATGCTTACCTTTTCTTTGTCACTTGCCTCTCTAGCCACTGTGGAGCCCTGAAACACAAAGAAATAATAAAAATGTGCACATATGAGGCATGGGTTTCATATGAGTATGTTATGAAGACGGCCCTGGCCAGCACAGTAATGGACGAATAGAGCCCTTCTCTGCGGCACTCGACTCAGCCTGTTCTCCTACCCAACAACAGCTCTTGGTCGGTCTGTGGCCTTCCCCGCATTCTTGTCTCTTGCCCACTCTTCTCCAGCCCTGTTCCTGACATGCTCACCTGTCTGGTCTTTTTCTGGTTCTTATCCAGCTGTTGAAAGTCAGAAATCCTGAGATTCACTAGAACAATAACTTTTTTTTTGTTGGGACAAGGTCTTGCTATGAAGCCCAGGCTGGCTTCAAGTTCGCATCTCCTGCCTCAGTCTCTTGAGTGTTGGGATTATAGGCATTCAACATGCCTGTCATGAACAATAGCTTCCTAACCACTGGACCAAAGCCATATCAATTGCATCAATTACCAAAAAAGATGGGTCTCACTATCTTCACAGAGGGAATGGCCATCAGCTGGCCACAGAGACTGCTGGGATACGAAATGTTCCCTCCTCACACTATGTCTTCCAGATGCAGGCACATCCTGACCTGTGACTGCCTTCTCTGTAACACGTTCTTCCAGGATTCCAGTTGCTAAGGGAGTTCTAGTGTATAGGCGAGTCCCCTGAGGTCACATTTTGGCCCTGTTACTTCGACTGCTCATTCAGAGACACATGTTTACTGTTTACTTGTACCTTCTTTGTGCCAGGACCTGTGCTGAGCCAACAGGGAAGTGGACAACAACATAGTCCATGACCTCAGCAATGCTCAGCCCACCTCAGAGGTTCTCAAAGTGCCACAGAGCACGACACCCACTTCAGATGCTGACAGGGAGGCTTTGAGGGAAGACTTTAAACACATTTTTTTGTAGAAGAGTTTAACACAGAAGAAGTGGGAAAAAACTTGTCCAATGGCTTCCTGAATCCGCTAACACAAGCACTACTAATTCTCTGGTGCTCCATGGCGGGGTCACAGATGCTCTGTGTTTACTGTGTGGGTGGAGAAGGATCACAACCAGTTACTGGTCTCCTTCCCTGTCCAGCTGTGGGTACCCAAGCTAATACTAGGTCAGTGGAGCCATTTGTCAACCTCACCGCTTCTTAATTACACAGCTACTGCCCTGGTCAATCATTAAAAGAATTTGTATTTGACTTGGGCAAAGTGAAAGCAGCTCCTAACTTAGCTATTTGTGGAGAGCTCAAAATTTATACACTATCTCCAGCTCTCAGCAAGTAGCTCAGGTGCTGATAAGACCGTGTGGAGCCTGACAATCACATGTATAGAACCTGGGACTGACCAAGCTCCTGGAATGGTGGCCGTGAGAGCCTAATGGCCACCCAGGGAAAGGCTCAATGTGCCTTGGGGACCAGGCATGGGAGCACTATGCTGACTTGGCAAAGGAATCATTTATGACAGGACACCAGCCACAATGCACTCAGCCCAAGTGCAGTGCCTGTCATTTGCAACCATCTACTTTCCTTGCTTTGGGGATTCTTGAGCAGAGGCCACAGGTAGTTTCCTTCACATAGCGAGGACCAAGGAATTAAAAAGGCGGTGGAGATTTGTAATACAAGCGCATCACCTATGCTGCTGGGCCAGAAAAGAATTATTTACATTTGTAAGGGCCAGCCAGATAATTCAGTGGATTAAAGCACCTGCTCAGGCAGACTCATAGATCAGTTCATCCCTGGCATGCAGTGACAGCCCTGCCCCAGGGGCACACTGAGGTGTTGATTGAGACTGGGCGTTGTGGTGCGCACCTGTAATCCCAGCACTTGGGAGGCTGAAAACAGTAGAATCACTAACAGTCTGATCTGTGTAGTGACCTACACAGATCTACCCTTTAGACCCTGTACTAAATACGTTAAAAAAATTTTACATTTGTATTCCTAACAAAGTTGGAGGTTTGTCTGCATTTTCCTCCCTACAGTATAATTCTCCCAACTTCTGATTCTCAGGAGAGCTTCAATTCTATGCAAGTGCAGATCAATGGAGGTGTGGGGAATTCATCCAAGTTTAAATTCATGTAAAGAAAAGCATTAGAAAAGTAAAACTAGGGGCTAGGGATATAGCTCAGTGGTCTAAACATCTGCCTGGCAAGTGCAAGGACCCAGGTTTGATCCCTGGTACCGAATGCCATGCCAGCCCTGCACTCCATCAGTCACCAAGACTGGGAGTTTTGGCGCTTACCTGTAACCCCAGCGCTGGGGAGGCTGAAAACAGGAGGATCACTACTAGTCCAATCTGTGTAATGAGATCATGTACCACATAAATAAATTAAGGATTTTTAAAAAAAGGTTAAGAGGTTAAAACTAGGTGTTGGAGGGCTGGTGATATTGCTCAGTGGACTAAGTGTTTGCTTAGGTAAGTGCAGGGGCCAGGTTCGATCCCTGATACTGCATGCTGCCCTGGCCCTGACCCTGGGCACGCTGAGCAGGTGATGGAGTCTAGGCATGGTGGCACATGCCTGTAATTCCTGCACTAGGGAGGCAGAAATCGGGAGGATCACTAAGAATCCAAGCTGTGTAGTGAGACCCTACAGAAAAACAAAACAAAACAAAACTTAAAAAAAGTCTAAGTGTTCGAGCCATGAAATGATGCCAAACATACAGGTCCAACTGCAATGGAAGTACTAGTGAGAACAGAATTCACTGATTCTACAAACCAAAGCAGGATCATGAAATGTAAGGAAAATTAAGGTAATTTCCAATTTACATCTAGCTATGGTTACTAGATACCTACTTGTGAGGGGCAATGACTTAGGCATTTCACAGGAAATAAATGAATACATAGCATGAAATACTTGTCCAGTGGGCATTCATGTACTGGCAAATGGAAATGGATGTGGTAACTACTTCTATATGCTGCATGTGACACATACATGTTACTTAATCCTTCTGCCAAACCCTGGAAACTCAGGTAAAATCATGCCTGTTTTAACAGATGAAAAGGACTCATAAATGCTGAGCGACTCAAAGCTAATAAATCATAAAAGCAGTTTCACAGGCCACCCAGCTTTCCCACGTGGGAAGGTCAGAGCAGTGGCTGCAGTCCTGCATTAGTGACAGCGCGGGAGGCAGCACTGCAGCAGGCAGGGAGGGCTGTGGGTGGCAGGGACCCTGCCCCAGTGCCATGTGAGAAGAACTAAAAGGCTAGAGGCAGCGTGAGGGACAGAGCGGGGCAAGGCAGTCTGCAAGTTCACACTCAGACCCTCTCCTTTACTTAGACCAGCATTTCTCAAGATGGGCTCTGCAATGTCCAAACTACTCTCATAATAATATCCAGACCTCACTTGTCTTCACTGTCTTGATATTCATGTGGACCTTGCAAAAGATAGTGGGTGGTGAAGCTGCTGGCAATGAGCCCAAATCAAGCAGGGGTATGAAATGATATTGGTAGTGTTTGTCATTAAAAATAAAAACCAAACCAAACCAAAACCTTAGCATCACTGAAGAATGTTCCCGATGAAGCAAAAAATCGCATTTCATTAGATCTTGACTCTGGGGGGCATGTCTTTCCTACTCTGTGCAGAAATATTCTATTTATAAAGAAAGGGTCTCTTAGGAACCACCTCTGTTGCATTTGCAGTTCTCAGGTGGACGAGCCATATTTTTCATGAAACAACATCTTCACTTGAAAGAACAACTGACAATCTGTATTTGTTCAGATCTGAGAAACTGACAAATATTTGCTCAACAATGAACAAAGCTGCTAGCCTTGTCTGGGCTGTGGAAGGGGGTGCTATGTACTGTCATCTCAGGAAATAAATAACACAATTTGTTTCCAAAGATAAAGAGCTTTCAAGTGAAAACCAGAACTGTGAAAAACTTGTATCAGCCCTGAGCTTGCCAGCTTCCAATATTACAACTTTTCCAATGAGACTGGTGGTTGATGATACTAATGGAACTTTTTTTTTTTTTTTAACCTTATTGGGGATTGAACCCAGTGCCTTTTCAGAGTTATATACCCAACCCTTTTAAATTTCGAAGATAGTTCTTGCTGAGTCGTTCATGTTGGGCTAGAACTTGAGATACTATTGCTTTATTTCCTTAGGGCTAGGACCATGGGCATGGGCTGGCTTTTGCTTCTATGTGTCATAAAATGTATGTCAATATTTGGAAGGCCATAGAACTCAGTGAACCAATATGTTTCTAACAAGTGTAGGACTATAAAACTGTACATTCAGGCAGTGTTCGCAGAGAGCACAGGCTTTTAGTAATGACATTGTAATTGCAAGGAAATGTTACTATACCTGCTCAGTTAAAATACAGCAGACTCCATCACAATACAATAGTACCTCAGTTCACAAATGCTTTGGTTTGCAAACTGAAGCATTTGGCAAAATTTTGTTTTTATTTGCAAACTCTGCATCCAGTGACAACACAAAATGGCCATCTTTCCAAAAATAATGGAATGAGTTAAGTTCATGAACTGAGGAACTGAGTTACCACTGTAAAGTGTTTCAATTTTTTTTTTTTTTTAAGAGGTAATAAGTGTTTTGGGCTTTTTTGTTATAAAAAAAGAGTAAAATGTTCACTGACATGATCTTAGTCCACAATGTAACTGAACTTTGAGACATAATTATCCAGTTTTTGTGTGGCATTAAAGAAGACTATCACAACTCTCCCACTGGCCAAAAGTGCCCTGAAGCCATTCGAGGAACAAAAAAAAAAAAAAAAGAAGACTATCAATGACCCGAAAAAGCTATTAATCTCACCCTTTTCAACTACTCATATGATTTGTACATCAAATTTTCTTCTCTTATTTCAACCAAATAGCACTGCAATATACTGACAGTATAATCAGATGATATTACAACTGCCTCATTAATTCAGACATTATAGATATTTGCAAAAATTGCAAAACAATGCTACTTGTCCTACTATATTTTTCTTTTCTTTTAAGAGGTATTAAGAAAAAAAGAAAGAAAGAATTTTTCTTTCTTTTCCTTTTTTTTTCCAGTACAGGGGATTGAACTCAGGACTTTGCATTTGCCAGGCAAGTTCTTATGCTGCTGAGCTATATCCCTGGTCCCTAACTTTTGCTTTTTGAAAAAGTTATTTTTCATAAAAAAGTTAAGATGAAATGCTTACTCTACTGAACTTTTACTGTTTCTTATATTAATGTCTAATACTGTAGACATCCATAGATACAGTCTACATAATTAATGCAAAAGGGTTCTAAGACCAAAAAATCTTGAGAACCAGCTGTCAAAGATCGGAGGTAGACATATTTCCATGGGTCAGAGGGCAAATATGTCAGTATTTCTTACTCATAATAGTCTTTATAGTGACCGCTCCACTCTGCCATTATAGTATAAAAGCAGCAATCAACACTACAGAAACGATAGGCTTGGTGGGATTCCAGTAAAGCTTTATTTACAGAAATGGCTCCTGAGTTGGATTTGCCATGCAGGCAGGTCACAATTTGCCTGTTTCTAACTTGGACATTCTTCCCCTGATTCAGTGATACTAGAAGTCATCTCAGGTCTCTGTCTGAATTTCTGGGCTCCCTCACTCACAAGTCATTGAAATCACCTCCTTCTGGGCTATCCCCTCTCTTAGGAATCATCCCTCACTTCCTGCAAGTCTGCTCCAATGTTGCCTTCCCAGACAAACTTTCTCTGACATCCTATACAATTATATCACACCTCTTTAATTCTGTCTGTAGCATTCATTACTGCCTTAAAATACTATATGACTTACTTTTACTTTTTATCTGTCTTTTTCTACCAAAATGATCAGTCCCTGAGTGAAGATTTGGTTTGTCATGTTCACCACACTATTCCCTGTGCCTAGTACAGCAACTGGCAGGTGGCTGGTAATAAATAAACAGACATTTCTAATATGGAAAAGTGTCTTTTAGTAAAGCCAATAAGCACTGATGGTTTAACCTGAAGGGGGTGCTGCCCGTTGGCATTCTAGTACTATTCCTAAGTTCTGAACATCTCCCAAGCATCTTGTAAGATTAGATATGACATGTATATGTAGATAAATAAACTTAATTTGCTTAACAAAAATGAATAAAGTCAATCTCACCTTTAAGTCATATTTTCTATATACAGATAAGCGATGGCTAAACACATTTCTTGTCACAATCACATATATTTCAACTCCATCCACATTCAGCCGATACATGCCCAAGAACTGGGGGAGAAGGGTAATCCCATGACATTCTACTATATACTGTGCAGGAGAGAAAGAAAAGAAAAAATCCAATCAAAACATGCTTGTTTAGGTGTATATTTATACAAGAGATAATCTCTATTAAAGATCTATTTAAAAAAATGATCACCATTGCACTGCTCACCCAGTTTACCATGTGTACCCAGATCAGGAAGTTCAATTTTATCTCCAAAGATCTTTTTTCCTAGCATTCTGAACTAATTTTTAAAGTCAAAATGTGGACATGATAGTCCAATACAGGAGAAACACAAGCAATGGGCCCATTCTGAAAGCCCTTGTAAGTGAACAACACATTGAGGACCCCAATCTTCCACTGCAGAAGCCCTTGTGAGGGTTTTACGCTGCTGAGGCAAAGTGACCTAGCCCCAAAGATCAGCTTCTTTAATGGCATTGAAGTCAAACTTAAACAGAAAAGGTCAGGGTCAGGTGTTAAGATGCCTAGGTTTTCTATTTCTCAGACTTTATTGCTGAGAGCTAAGCAGCCTAAAAGAGCAGAATTGTGAGGGGCCCCCGCTCTGGAGCCTGCTGGACAAATCCCAGGCGGACACCATCCCCAGTGATGGCGGCAGAAGCCAAGTCTGTGACGAGCACACACCCAAGCCACAAGATGGAGCTCCTTCTCCTGGAAGAGGTCCCAAGGGAAAGCTAAGTTTTCTTTAAAATGGGGAAAAAGAGGATGGTAAATGTCTTTTTAGTCCATGACACATGTCAAATTTCCAGATTAATGAACACCATGAACATCAGAATTCCAGTTTAGTAAACACGGTACACATTGTGCATATTTACACAGAGATGCCTGAAACACTGTTCACTACATGGATAATGGTTGTGTTTGGGAAAATTCTGATCTTTTAAAAAATCACATGTATTGCTTTACTTTTCTTAAAAAAATGCTTATTTAATAAAAAGAATTAGGATGTCTTGTCAAGCCTGGCAACATCTGACCATCTTAAGAATTAATAAGCCCTTAGACTTTCTCTTAATCATTAAATTAAAGAACGTCAGTATCTGAACTTGATTTTTTTTTTTTTTCTATTTTGGACAAATTTTAAAGTTGTTTCTGTCCCCTTTTCTTACCAACAGTAACTGAGCTATATTCCGAGTAGACCTTCATCTTACTTGTTATTTGAAATCAAATGACTGGAACATTTTTTATTCCTCTTTCAAAACGTAAGAAATTGTCTTGTATTTTGCTAATGTACAACAGGCAGTAAATAGTTCCTGGTTGAATAGAAAATTTTTCACATGTGATCTAAGAAATTGAAAGGGTGGCAGATCCCACCCACCTCTGGAAAAAAGTGGTTGGATGGGCCTGGGCCTGAACATACTGCAGGCACCTGTGCCATGCACATACGTGGGAGGGAGGCAGGTTTGTGAAGGGGGCCACCACTTGCCAGCTGTGGGATCTTGAGCAGCTTACTAAATTACTCTGAAATTTTGGTTTCATTTGCCAGAAAATGAGTACTAAAATGCCCACCTCCAAGGTGGTTGTGAGGACGATAGTAAAACTGCATGTCAAAATACCTAAAGCCATAGAGTGTCTCACCTACACTCTTCTTCCAATGGAAGATGACAATGCTCCAACTTTCATGTAAAATCCTATTAAGAAATTATGTTACATCTATGTGCTTTGTGCTCCAAATCTCCTGGGTCTGCTCAGCAGATGCTGTGGGATTTTGTGTGTGGAAGATTTTGTGTGTGTGATGGGTATTTGAGGCCTGCAAAACATGCCCCTGGCTTGGGCAACAGCTACGCGGGCCCTCTTCGTGCTGTTCTGCTCAGAGCACTGTCATCTTGGATTATTGGTAGATGCTCTGCCAGTAGAAAACATCTCTGTGCAGAGCTACAGCGAGCCTGGTTCACAAAGGACACTAATCGCGTTAACAGATGTTGAAGAAACCTTTTTGAGTATTATACCAGAAATTGTTCACAAGCATTTTTTTTTTAAAGGGATAAACACGCACTTAGATTACATTCCATAACACCCCTCACTTTAAGATTTACAACATAGAGCAACAACAAGAAAATTCAGATCAGATTGGATACCCTATCAACAGGCTTCTCCAAGTACTTATTCTTAAATAGCTGGCTCATCTATGGGCTCTGATAAATACCCTGAAAAATACAGATCGCATGAATTTCAATATAAGTTACATGAACTCCTGAATCATATAAATATGTACAAAACTACAAGACTTCAGTACTGCTGGGCTAAAGTTGGGCCAAAGGTGTAGAAAGCATTTATGGATCAAAATTTTACAGAACAGAAAATGCTACGCATCAACTCAGTTCTGGATGGGGACACTGGGAGAAGGATGCACTGTTGCTTTTCCACTGAGGGACACTGGCTGGATGTCAGGCTCGAGGGCTGGAACCGCTGTGCTTGGGCATAATGTGCTCCTACGTGCAGGTGGCAGTACAGCTGGCTGAATGCTCATCCTCACTGCTCCCCAGCTGGTGCAGGAAAAGCTACCCACGAACTTGGAACCCCAGTTGGCATCTGTGCTGGGGTAGCCTACACACAGAAACAGCTGGAGGTGATCTCCAACCCAAGAACTAAACTCACAGCTTGGCGTTAGCTGGCTCATGCCACACGGCCTGAAGCGCTCTTGGGCAGGATCCATTTGCCAGCTGTGTGATCTTGGGTGAATTTTAGAACCTTCCTGTCTGTCTGCATTTGGAAACAGGGGTAATGACAGCACTTAATCCACAGGAGTTTTGTGATGATTAAATTAATTACAAGTTCTTAAAACAGAACCTGCAACATAAAAAGTGTACCAAAGTGTTATTTGTAACTCGAGCTTTCTCCATTTTCCTGAATCCTTGAAACCCTTTCATCACTCTCCATATTCATTCATTGACCCACTTTAAAAATGCTTATTCAGCCTTCATTACATGCCAAGTGGTGTCAACGACAGAGCAGGGAACACAGACCTGGTTCTTGTCCCTGTACAGCTTATCCCACAGCAGCAGAGAAAAGGGGAAAGACTGGAAGAAACCAGGCTGAGCTTTCCACTGCCAAAGCTCTCTGGCAGACGTGCAGGGGTCGCACCACCTGCCATACCCTCCCCAGATCAGGCTTCCTTCCATCCTAGGGCCAATCTTGCTTGGCTCTTAGGTATCATCCCCTCTGCTCAGAACACACAACCTCCTCTCCACTAGTAACTCTTTGGCAGTGCTTAAATGTGCTGAAGATTCTTTCTCAGAACAAAACCCAACAGAAAAATACTTCTACAGTGCAGACACAAATGAGAACAATCTCCTGGCCCTGACTGGGTCTGGCCAAAATATACCATTTGAGGGCAAGTGAGGACAGCTACATATGCCACTCAGTAGGTATTTGGTGATATTAAGGAATTAATTGTCAGTGCAGTAAGATTTATGTTTCTGAGAAGCACTTTAAAATATTTAGAGGAAGTGGTAACAGCATTTACTTTAAAATTATTTAGCAAAATCCAAAATGATGCAGACACTGTAAATGTTAGTAACTGCTAAATCTAAGTGACATGTCTGTAACATTCTATTTGTTTGAAAATTTTTATAGCTAAAAGTAAAAATAAATAAAATCCCTTATCTGACCCACTTTTCTTCATCTATAGATTCTCTTTCAACCACTTTTTGAAAGATCTCTGAGCACTGACTGTGTTTTTCCTTACCCCCCTCCACTCTGGGTCTCACTGCACGCTGAGTCTTGTCATCCTACCTCCCAAGAGCACCTGCTGCCATGCACACCAATGACCCCAGGAGACCAAACACACAGACGCTCCTCAGCCCTTCTCTGGCTTGTGACTCTGCTCCTCAGGGTCTCTAAGGATGCTCCATTTTGGCTTCTGAAACACCATGTCCTCCTGGTTTCCTCCTTCCACTCTGCCTATCCGCTTTCTCCCCACTGGGCAGTTCTTCCTCACCTAGGTACCACTGGATGGGGGATTTCTTTGGGGGCTTGATGTTGGCAGGCTTACTGCCTCCCAGCCCACTGTGCGCCAACTCCGCGCCCTCCCCTTTCGTCTTTATCTCTGTTGGTAACCTCCAAACTTACTGTGTCCAGTCAAAACCTTTCCTTTGGGCTTCACACCCACAGAGGGTTTAGTTACTTTAACAAGGCTGCTTGGTCTCACATAAGCTCCATTAAGGTAGCACTGTGTTCATTTTCAGCATAAAATCTCCAGCTCTGTGTAGAGCCTCATATCAAAAAACACTTAATAAATAATTATTAAAGAAATAAATGGGTGAAATTTAAAGAGTAGTCCAAGATAGTTCTTACATTTATTCTCTGCTACATTTATAATTAATACCATGATTCTGATCGCTGGGTGTTATAAACATAAAAATTGTGGGGTTTGAAAGCAGAAAAAATTCAATGTGATTTAGGATGAAGGGGAAACTCAAGACTTTTTCATGATGACCATAATGAATGAAAAATGTTACATGGGGAAAAGCAGGAAACAAAGACGGCATGTGTCAGCCTCAAAAGGAAAGGGGATGTTGCAAAATAACTGTGTAAGGGTAGAAAAGCTGCTGGTCGCCGTGGGGATGGTGTGGGCACACTGCTCACTGTCTCCTCTCTGCACGGCAGGCACCAGGAGAGGAAGGGCAGACTCACAACTCTAGCCACAGCAATGTGCTACTAAATAAGGGCAAAGCACAGCATGCGACGATTTTAGAATGCAGTGACAATTCTCCTCAGCAGTCCCAAGTGTATGTGAACTGATGAAGCTGACACATGATGTGACCACTGTAAAGGGAAGGCTCCCGTGTGTGTCTGAAGTCAGCCCCTCCTCCCTCCCTCAGCTCACCCCAGAAGGAAAGGTGTAATTTGCATGATGCTGCGGAGATGTGATGCACAGGGGGCAGTCCTGCTGCTCTGGAAGAACTGGGAAGAAGGGGGCAGAAGAGCAAGCAGGGAATAGATGAGAGAGACCCAGGAGGGAGGGATGGGGGGAAGAGGAAGGGAGAGGGAGGGAGAGAGGGAGGCCTCGGGAGCATCAGGTAGGCTCCTA